TTATTGCTTCAGAAAATAGATAAACGAAAGTACTGGGCGATGCATTTGCCACAGGTGCAAAGCAATTCTGTTTGTAGACGAATGTCTTCACTTAACACGTTATCGTACCTAGTAATTGACCAAATTACTAATAAGAGGTTGAGAAAATCACGTTCGTTCTCTTAATCGTTAACTACCTTGTTTAGAAATGTTCGTTCCTCGTTAAAGTACAATAGCATCGATAATGGCAATCTTTCGTTGAAAGTCGAGAAAGTTAACGCAATCGAAATGCTTCGTAATATTCTAAGATTAATCTCGCTGCAATCAAAAAAGATTCGTTACAAAATACGCATAATATTAATTAATTAATCAGTAATTTACTTTTCTATCCTTCCATTTTCCATTCCATTAAGAAAACATCTATTCTTAAAGAATATTGACAGCAATAAAGACTATATAGTTCCAAAGTTCCAATATTAAGTGCAAGGTCCACAAAGTTACCTAATGATTCGAGATAAGCATTTAATGCATACTTGTGTTGTTTTAATGATAATTTTTGCTCACAGAATATCTGATTTCAATTAGCAAGATCGCTGATTACCCAAACAAGTATCTTGCTTTTAGGATATCGATGGCAATGTACCAAAACAATCGCGAAAGCCCGCTCGCCTTTTCCGTTTGTTATTCTTTTTATATGGGCTAATCAAAGACGCATAAATGAGTTCTACATAAAGAATCGGACTCGAATTACTTCTGCAAATCCAGTTTTAGTATTAAACTAGAAATCTCAAGGACTTTATATTCATAGATATACCCACTTGTCCGATGAAATCTTGCCGCAATAGTATTCGATATCAAATTGTGGCACAAGACAGATAATATCATTACCGCGACCTTGTTTTCCCTGATTGGATTGTCTCCGCGTCCACATGCATATCGATATTACTCGGAACATTATACATTGCAATTGGCATCAATAACAATAGCGAAAGTGAGAATATACTCTGCCACTTTTACGTTCCACCAGTTGCTCTTCAACCAGCATTAATATAATAACTCCATAAATGCATCTTTCTATAAATCAAAATTGTTTTGAGAAATTCCTTTTTAAATATTTCCTCACACATTTTTCTTACTCTTAATATTCTCATCAAATATTTACTTTTCACTATTATTACAAGCGACAATCTTCACACAAAAAAATCGTTAATGAAATAATTAAGAATAATTTACATAATTATTGCAAAAATAATATCTTAAAGCCTGTGTTTACGTCTGCGTAAAAAAAAAATTGCATCTGCACGTGCGTAATACTTCAGTTCGCAAGTGTACTTTAAAAGTGCTTTACGTGGAAAAACGGTGCGACCAGATCTAAAATGCCCGTGTCACACGCATTCCTTTAATAAGACCTGAACATAAGGCGAAATGCATTATGTGCATCCACCGACCCCGTAACCGCTAAAATCTTTCTTATGTTCGCTTATTATTCATGTTAGCACATGCGTCGCCGGGGATTTACAATGTTTGCACGACGTGGCGTAGGTCGAGCTTCGTTGCCCGGCATCGTGCTCCGTTCGATGGACATTGATTAGTCGCTGCACGAGGAAGAATTCGCAAGGATTTCTCATAGGATGTAAATGCTAATCTTTTAGCGGCGATAAGACATCGTTGTTATATCTTTTTCTCAGGTATAAAACAATTTTCAGATATAAAACAATTTTAACGGCGCAAAGCGCAACTGAATCTAATATTGGGGTCGTCGCTGCAAAGACTGCAAAGATTGTCTTTTGATTGAAAGACAATTGGAAATTAAAGTCGAAGAGAAACTAATGTCAGAGAAGAAATCCAACTATAGCCTGGCTAATCGTCGCTACCGATCCGTACGAAACTCATCGTGTTCGATCGATAGAGCAAGGTGCGCGCGGACAAAAGTCGCCCGACTATTACTGGAAAGTGCGATAAAACCCAATGAGTCGTGAAAGGTCCAAGAACCACGCGGCGTATGACCATACGGCGCAACGAATGCTGTCACTCACATCGGGACGGGGGATAATTCCCTGCAATTTAGAATGACTCCCATATACAACGCAAATGAATGACTCGCGTACGCGTGTTACGCCGCCCCGCACGCGCGCGCTCCATTACCCGTGAACGAAATATCGAAAACGTGCCGGTGATTACAGGGATCGCAAGCACAGCGGAATAAATCGGTATGGAGATAATGGCTCGGCGTGCAAGATCTATCGTGCGATCTCTCACGAGACAAAGAGGAACGCTCGTGGCGCACGATTGAAAGTTGTCAATTTGTCAATGATGGGGAAAATTTTTAATTGGTTTTCAACAATGGATCAAGTATGACTTGGGAAGAGAGGAGAAGAGAACGGTAAAAGGGAAGAAAAGAGCGGAGGTTAAAGGTCAGAAAGAAGAGAACGTGAGATAAAGAATGCCGTTGCTTAATCACGTGGGGGGGGGTTCATCCGAGAAGTATTTTAATTGCGCGTTTTCCTTATCTAAAATATGCTCCGTTATCGCGGACTCACCATCTGATTTTCCTGCTAACAGCCGCCGCCTTCCGATAATCGTCGAAACGGTGGGATTCCATGATAGAGTGTTTATTCGATCAATAGCGAACTTTACGGCCGTCGGCATTTCTGTGTGTGTATATATTGAGCGGGTTCGATCTGAAGAGTAGAACGATCCCTCGCGACAGTGTGTCGCCAACGAAATCGAAACCTATTCGCGCAAATCTCCGATAAAGTCACGGTGCTCCACTTGATTCGAAAGTCCAGTTGATATTTTTCAATCTGTCGGTTTAAATGAGTTCACACACATATGAGATTAACATCACACTTAGATTACATCTCAAAAATTTTACAGTACTTAAGATAAAATTATATCGAGGATTAAATCGTTGAGGTATTGGCAGAGAGGCTAGCGCGAGTACTATTTAAACGGGATATTATCTAATTAACGCACTTTGCATTTAAATGCATAAGTGCTTGCATATCTTTGCAGAGACGACCGGAAATCATTAACAACACAATACACAACGTGCACCGTTAACATAATAAAATATGATATGTAGATGTGAAATCCAATTATTACCATATGTACAAAAAATACAATTAGACTGGAGTAGTGAAATTGAAAAGAAGAATGTAATATTCAATTCGACGCGTAAGTCGCAAGCGCGTGAAATCATGTGTGAATTTCTCTACCTAAAGTGAGCAACCGTCGGCTTGAAAAGGGTATAGCTTTTCGTTAACCGACTGCAAAACGTGTCAAGACCCTTCGGTTACGCTCATCTGCAGGGGTTACTCTCATCCAACGTGGCAAAGGGTTGCGCGCGTCGTGCTTGATCGAATTCCGCTGCTCGGGATCGTTATGCACCAGCAGCAGTACAAATAAATTGAAAGTGATACTCTTCACCATGAAAGCCGAGCTTTCCGTCTTTAAACATTCAATAAATTAAAATGCAATCTAATTCGAAGATATCAAAATGCAGGTATATAATTTATTACGCTCGTGAAAGATTGGTCATTTTCGTGCGGCGGATGGTGGAGAAAAACTCACGAAAGAGAAACTCTTAGCTTCACCCTCCCTTAAACTATCCCAACAGCCTCGCGTTTGTAATGGATACCGTTATACAAACGCCGTCATACCCGCGAGGTACGACTTGTCTCTCGCCGTATTTGATCATAACTGCATTTTAAAACCGACGCGCGCTTTTTTAGGGCAAAGCCCGTTTGTCGTTTTACTACCTGGTGTCATTTCGAGGAAACATTTATGTCCCCAAACTGGATTTTTTGGGGAACAAATCCTACTTTACAAACGATTTTGTGTACAAGAAGTCCTTTTAAGTACACTCCACATTTAACCATCTTACAATCAACACATTTCAAGTCGAATAAAATGTATTTTAATCGGCTTTCTACCACATATTATTATCACAAAGAATTCAATGGATGGACGATCTCAAGCAGACCCATATGTCGTGGCATATGTCGTAATTACCGCAGTGTATAATTCGATCGGAAAATTGACGATTTTAAGCCACGCGCACGTTGACTAACGATAAGCAGTAAACTGCAAAAAGTAGAAGAGCTAATTTGTTAAACAAATGCTTAAACATAAACAATTTAATGGATTTGGACATTCGCTCATAAAACTCTCTTTATAGTGAATGCGCAATACCGCTCACGCATGTAACGTAAGTTATTTTAAAGTAAAATCCAACATACCACAATAACATGGCTTTTTTAAATTACAGAATCGTACAAATTTGAATTTTGTTTCATAAACGAGCCTGCCCTGCCGCTCTCAGCTCACGCCTCATCATTCGCCCGTCGCCAAGATGCACGCGAACCTTTACGGGCAAGTGATCCGAAATACATCCCGATATACATCGTGACGAGATCTCTCGCGTGTGGAAACTTACATTTGTTTCCGCGTTAGACGACGTGGATTGACGAGATCGTGAAGGAACCGCGTGATCCGAAGCGGACGTCATCCCAGTATTCGTGTACGAGTACCTTTATCAGCTCGGAGCCAGGATCACTCACCACCGTCGTCGTCGCGTGCGCACTCGCGACCACTCTCTTACCACCGCCAAACAACAAATAATAACACCGCCACCGCACGCAGCACCAACCACGCAGACCACCACACACAGAGAACAAATTTTTTTTTCTTTTTTACGAATATATTTCGCAAGTGCAGGGCACACGATTCGCTGCACGAATTGCGACGCGCAGGGAGACGGAGGACGATGTATACGCGTCGAGAGCGCTCAAGTGTCAGTGTAACGTGGCGGGGATGCTGAGATCGTCGTTCCACCCAATCCCCTCGGAATCATCTTAACTCGATCGATTCGCGCACGACTCGATCGAGAGATGGGCGAGGCAAGAGCCTCCTCGTGATAATCCGGCGGAACAATGTCGAGATGGATGAACGTACGTTCGCGCGTAACCCTTTCCTCTTTTTCCCCTCTTTTCCGTTTCTTTTATTAAAAAGACACTCACGTGCTTAAAGTGAGACGCATCCAGGCGCGTTGCGTCAGCAGCGTCGACGCATTGCGTCGGGCTGGCCTCCGGGAGCTGCTTTTAAAATCCTCGCATCTAACGACGCCGCTGTTCCTTTACTCCACTTTGTCTCCCTTCGTGGCGCGCGAAACACACTACTATCCCCTTCGATCGGTCGAGATCGATCGACAGCACTTGATCGTTCACACAATGTCGTTCACACTATATCCACTTCGTACATGAGATACGTGAAAGATAAGAGAAAATGAGAAAACTCCGAAATTCGTTGCTCCAAAATGATTCGCTCCAAGCAAATCACTAAGCAGTCATCGCTACGTATTGCACCGTATGTACGCGACACCGCTCGCTGTGCTGCACAGGTATCATTCAACTAGCGCAGTAGCTACCGGTACGTGCGCGTCACGTTTTACGAGACACCTATATTTCCAAGTAACTTCCGCTCGACCATGCGCGCGGCTCACTCAGTTCGCGCGAAATCTCTCAACCACGCGCTGACGTGATTTCACCCCCCCGAGTGAACGACAGCGACGCGCGATCGTATCCTCAAGACCGACGGCGGGCAACAACAGCGATAGCAACGTGGTAGCACCGTGGCAGCCAGTACATCTCCGCTTCGCCAGCTTGGAAGCGTGCCAACGTTCTATCGTCACGAGGAATCGGCGGCACTGCAAACGGCGGCACTTGGCGGGGGTGGCGGTAAAACGTGGCGAACGCCGCCGCTCAACGACGCTCCGGTAAACGCACGCGAGAACGCGCCCCTCTCAGCGCGGCGAGCGATCAACCCTCCGAGACAATCGCACCCTCCTCCGCACGAGGGAGTAAGAGGGAAGCCGGCGAGACCGCGAGCACCAAGTAGACCGGTCGACTGCGTAGCCGACGACGAAGGTGCACCCAGGGCGCTCCTGCACGGCGACGATTCGTCGACGGCAACGGCGACGACGGCGACGACGATGATGGTGCGACGACACGACCGTAGCACGCGTAGCGCGACAGTATACAACAACGGTGCCGCTGCTGCCGTGTATCCCGACGGCTCGGAGGCGCGCAAGTCAGCCCCACTAGTGTTCGCTCGCTTACCTGGCCGTTTCCCTGCCGCTGCCGCTCGACTAGAGCGTACCCCCACCCCTCTCTTGCCACCCCTCCACTCGTATCGTACACGAGGCTGCCCCTCCATCGGCATGCTCTTCCCTATCCCTCCTCCTATCCCTCTCGCGGCGTGTTCGCCACAAACGAACGCCCCCGCTTGCCGCGCAACCCTACTTCTACCTCACGCACCGTACTCTCTTTTATAGTGAAATGATATGGAAACGCGCGTTACTGCGCCCAGCCGGGGGAAAAAGGTTGCGGCGATTTCATGGCGAAACACGTGGCGGCAACCCTCGCGTTTGCCCCGCCGGGTTGCAGTCCGATAGGAATAGTATTGCGGAATGGAGCCACTTGCTCCTAACTCGCACGTCTTCGAACGATCGCTCAGAACTTTCATGAATTCTGTCCGTGCCCCAGCAAGAGTTTCGAAAGAGTTTCTGCTAATCCACACCTGAAAATTAATGCGTCTTATACTGCTGATTTTTTCCGATTTCTACTCTTTCTTATAGTCAGATTCCTATTCGTCGTTGTCATCCACTTCAACTATCAATTGAAAAACTGCACCGTTCACTTTTCTAGTATTATGAATTGCTTTCAAAGTCGTTATCAGGTATTGGCAGATTAAACTATTATCTAGCTTTGATAAAGCCAGCTTTCGGAGTCGTCAAAGTGTCTTCTGAGCGCGTGGCAAGCATAGGTAGCATAGCCGCGATATCTCGGCGCAAATCATCCTACCATCGCACTATTTCTTCTTCGCGAATGGCTCCTGAAGTTCTGAAGACACTCCTCGCGCTATATCTCCCACGGAACATTCTTCCTACCGTGCGTTGGTTTCTCTTCGCACCTGGCACGATCCGCACCGTCCGCACGTTTCGCGCACACGCATTTTTGAACCATCACGCAACACACTCGGCGCGCACACAATATAACGTAAAGGTCACTTTACAACAGCTGGACAATTCCGCGGATCGAAAGTGCGGCGACGCGCCGCGACGGCGACGCGACGGCGTGAGAGAGGACGCGGCTTCTCGCCGCCATCGACAGGCGGGTCGGTGCGTTCGCGCCATTCGCGCGCGATTTATTCATCTCCTTTTATTACTTTCATTTCGCCGTCGGGATGTGACGGCCAGGCGGTATATAAATTACCGCACAAGTCTCGTATCGGCCGTGGTATTCCGCCGCACTGACTCGTACGCGTCCGGTGACGGTGGACGAGCGGGCGGTTGCGCAATCCCCCCGCGAGCCGAGAGCCCGAGGTTTGTTTTCCTAAGTGAGTCAACGGCACGATTATTTTAATATATTTCAATGAATGTCGAATGTTGCACCATTCACAAGGCACTCAAGGACCCTCTCGCGGAACACGTGCGGATTTCGCGCCGTCCGCCCGCAGCGCGAGGTGAAACGAAGAAGATCGAAATGCCAGCGGCCGTCGCGCGGAGAACGGCGAGAGAGGAAAGAAGAAAAAAAAATTCGCGATGCGGCTCATCTCCGCGACGCGAGAGAGAACGGGACACTGATGACGGAACGTGACGGTGTTGCGACGAACGCCCGGTGGCCCGCAACGAGATAATTAATTATCAATCGAGCCGCGCGCCGATTATTCGTCCGTACGGTCACGCACGGTTGTCTCTGTTGTCGTATTGCGTCGCTCGTTTTGTCTTGATAACACCGAGGAATCAGCATTCGCCGAGTGAGTAGCCGCGTTCCAGCGCTTTTGCTTACGTCGCGCTATTAAATGCGTGTTCAACGCACGGTTTCAATATCCGAGATGATGCCCGACGGCATGTAAGATAGTCGGGCGATAATGTCTGCATTGTACAACATTTCGTGCGACACATATATTTTAATAGTGTCACGTTAGCTAGAGTGTTAGCGAATTAGGAATGCAAGCAGCAAAATCTTGTTCTGCATGCATTCAATTTCGAGCTGCCTTCAACGTTAACAAGATTGTAATTCGAAACTTGTTTGTTAAAATATTTAACGTTGATGAAACTTGTTTTAAAATATTTAATATTGACACGTCGAAGTCGGCGAAAAAGAATATGCTGTACAATTCAAATCCCATCAAAGAAAAAATAATTTTGAATTTATCAGAAACATAATTAAAGAACTACAATACATTCGTTAAAAAATAGATCATATAATATACGATACAAAATTTTATAAAATATTCTGTATACTGAATATTAATATTTTTCTAATTCGAATATTTAAAAAGAAAATGCGCGTAAATGGAAGCGACATATTTCTAGATAGAAAAGAACAGAAAAGCGATAGTTAAATTATTATCAGGTTGCCTTAATTAGCTTCCTTCGCGCCAGACGATTAACCGATAAGTGAACACACTAGGGCCTCGCCATTTTACATTTTATGAGATTCCGTCCCTTTTTAACTGTTCAGCTGAAGTTCCGAGTTCCGACTACGTGTCGCCAAATCCTATTCCAAATGGCCTAATTCATCGAACGCCGACGAGGCATCGCGTGGGAGAAACGTCGGCGCCTTTTAGGATCGTATCTCCGCGGACAACGGCCCTTCGGTGCACGCACGCATTCTTAAAATCTTGTCTCGCACATATAACATGCGAGCCACTTGTGCCCTTGCATGATGAAATCTCCGACACTTTTTCAATCTCATCAATCTGCTTATCTTACTAACAAAACAATAAACTCAGCAACATGCTAACCGTATTTTTATAAACAGATAAATGCAAATTTTAATTTTATTATACCAATTTCTACAATAAATTATAAATAAATTTATAATTATAAATAAATTTATAATTATAAATAAATTTATAATCTATATAATTATAATAAATTAAAAAAAAGAAAATATAAATATATCTGAATAGAAGAAATAAAATAATTTTATTAATATTTTAGTAGAATGATAACCGTAACGTTTTTTTTTCACTGACATTTATAGACATATTTTTCATTCAGTTTTGCTTCATTCAGTTTTATTAATAGTTCCACCGATGCACAGTGAGCTAGGAAACCTAAAAAAATGACCAAAAGTCGATTCTAAAGATGAGGTCAGACAAATGTCTTTTTATCAATCTGATAAACTGAAGATTGTTATTTTAAAATATTTATGATATTGGTCCGCTTGTTTTTATTTGGCAACAATTTAAATTTTCAAATTCATGTATGCAAGTATTAATTTTCTTTTTAAATATTTTTGTGCCATATGTTATATTTCAGCAAAAAAGTAATAAAAAAATTATTTTATTCCTTTTTATTCATTATTATTTACGAATAAATTATTAATGATGCACTAAGTACAAGAATAATAATAAAAAAATAGTGCACTGATATATTATTAATTTTTGATAGTTTGCGCTTGATACCGATTTGTGGCTTCTCTAAGCTCCGCTACTTATTAAAATGAACAAAATGCCATTGTATTCCTTAGGATATGTATTTGAAGGATATAATGCCCATTTTTGCCCGTTCTTACATATTTTGAAAATTTTTATTATAATATGTGCACAGCAGGCGATCACAGATTATAATAAATATTTTCAAAATATGCAAGAATGGGCAAAAGTGGGCGTTAGATTCTTCAAATACATACTCTAAGGAATAAAATGACACTTTGTTCATTTTAATAAGTAGCGGAGCTTAGGGGAGCCACAAATCGGCATCAAGCGCAAACTATCGAAAAGTAATAATATATGAGTACACTATTTTTTAATTATTATTTTTGTACTTAGCACATCATTATAATAATTTGTTAATAAATAATGATAAATAAAAAAGTACTGAAACAATTATTTTTATTACATTTTGCTAAAAGATATTCGTCTTACATCATCTCTAGAATCAACTTTTGGCCATTTATTGAGATCTCCTAGCCCACTGTGCGATGCAACCCTGAACATCGGTACAAAGCGTTTTTTACCTATCCAAATTACTGCATCATCCGTGTTGGACTACCCTACCTTTACACGTTGCACTTTTTAACGTTATTCTAAAGTAGGTTCACACGGACGTACACTAACAAAAAAAAAAGAAACGGGTGACTATCCTTGACTATCCTATTGGTGCATAGACGAAGGTGAATTGGGATGCTCGCTTAATTATTAAAGGCGACAAGTGTCGGTGTCGGTGGTACGGACGAAAATTCACCAGAAACTCAGGTCCAGTATACCTGAACCTGAGGCCGATGCTGGCGTAAATCATAGAACAATGGGATGGGATCTTTGTTCGTCGGCCGGGGCGGAAATCTCCCTGAGAGGTCGAGAAGGTGCCTTTACTTCTTTCGTTTACCTTCTCGAAGGAAGACCCGTTACCCAAGAAAATTCTCAGCGGTAGGAGATACGAATTCATACATGCAAAAAATCTTATCACGATCTACTTCAATATCTGTTCGACCTTCAACGATTGAGCACGAAAAGAAAAAGAGAAAGAAAAAGAGTGAAGGGGAGGGAGAGAGAGAGAGAGAGAAAGAGAGAGAGAAACGATGGTCGTGTGTCGATCTGATAAACTGACCGGGTTAAAGCCCGGAGCGTCGCGCAGTGAGAGTAGAAGCGTTGATTAAGCACGAAGCGCCGAAAGAGCATTTCTTCTTATTTAGAACGAAGCTCACGAATATAAAGTAGATTGATAATCGTCGCTGCGATCTGCCCGAATGACGAATCGTTCGCAAGGAGCTGCCCACATCCTCGAACTCTTCCACGCTGAGTAACCGATGACACGGTCACGGATTGAAATATCTCAGTGTACGCGTATGTTCGTCTATTTTTAACCCGGCTCTGAAACGAATGAGTCCGCGTGCACGAAGTCTTTATTAGACCTGACCGCGGCGCGTGCATTCAAAAAAGATCAAACGCCCCGAATTCTTCATGGAAAAGCTCACGTACTACAACGAACGGTCGACGATTAATCGCCGCTTAGTTAATGCTATTAATCTTACGGAATTCGAATCGCGGCGATATCGCGAGCGGAATAATGCCTTTCTACGTGTATAA